TGCCCACAAACCTTCGTGCCAGACTGAATCAAACGTCTTCTTAAAATCCACAAAACAATGAAAAGTTGTTTGTTTGAAAAGTCCAGCATCTTCCAACAATAGTCTCAACATCAGGATTTGCTGGACTGTACTTCTGTCCTTTCTGAAACCTGCCTGCTCCTCTCCTAAATGCTGCTCTATGTCTTTCTCCAATCGTTCTTTTAAGATCATCAGCATGATCTTGCACATATGAGGGATCAGTGCTATTGATCTGTAGTTGTTGCAGTTTTCAGGTCTCTTTTTTTTGGCAACATGATCAAGATTGATTTACACCAATCTTCTGGCTATTTTCCACTGTCCCAGATTTCTTGGCAGATTTTGTGAATCTCATTACATACAATTGGTCCTCCCGCTTTGATCAGCTCTATGGGAATTCCGTCTCTCCCTGTGCTCTTGTTGTTTCTCATTTTCTTCATTGCTTTCATTACTTCCTCCAATGTTATTTCCGTTTCTTCCTCATTGACTACTTTTCTTTCTTTTAAAGCTTGTAACACCTTCTTTGTATACGTGTTTTTATCTGTGAACAGGTCTTTGATATATTCCGACCATCTATCTTTGATTTGTTGGCCTTCAGTTAGAACATTTCCATCCTTGTCTTTAATAATCCTTGACGTATTCTTCAGTTTTCCTTTTAACTGTCTGACTAGCTGATACGCCTCTCTTGTTTTGTTTTGTCCAACTAGTACTTCTACCTTTTCGCATCTATCGTTTATCCATCTTCTTTTATTTGCTCTGGCACTTTTCTTTATTTTGCAAAACAGTTGTTTATATTTCATCTCATTTACGTTGTTTTGTCTTTTTGTTGCTTTCAACTGTCTTCTTTCCTCTACGAGTTTCCAAGTTTCATCACTTCATCACTTATCCAGGGTTTTATTATGTTTTTCCCTACTTCGCATTTTTCGGCTGCAGTCTTAAGCACTTTCTCCAAGTTACTGACTCTTGTTTTCATATCGTACTTTGTTTTTGTATCCAATTTGTTTTCTATTACATTTCTGATGTCTTTCAACTTCTCTTTTATCATTTCTGTGCTATATTTCACTCTTTTGATATTTTCGCCTGACTTTGGTCTTTTCGTTATTTTCATCTTGACGTTGCATAACACTAAACGATGATCTGATCCAATCTCTGCACTTGGAAAAGCACGGCACTGAGTAACAAATTTCATCCATTTCTGTTCTATCAAAATCAAATCTATCATGTTCGTTGTTTTTCCATCTGGTGATTCCCATGTCCATTTTTTTCAATTTTGTGTTTTTGTATTTGTTATATACATTTTTTGGTCCTTTGCAAATTCCAGCAGTCTTTCTCCTCTATTATTTCTGTTTCCTATACCGTATTTTCCCATGACTTCTTCAAAACCAATATTGTCTCTTCCGATCTTTGCGTTCCAATCTCCGGTGATTATCTTAACATCTTTCTTTGGCAGTACATTCAATGTTTGCTCCAGTTGATCGTAGAATGCCTTGATTTCTGCATCCGAGTGATCCATTGTTGGAGCATATGCCACTACCACATCAATGTCTCTCGGGTATCACTTAAACCTCGCATACATCATTCTTTCATTCACTGGATTGTACTCCAACAGTGCTTTTCTTGCTTTTTCGCCAATAACCATTCCAACTCCATAGACGTGCTCCCTCTCTGTTCCAGACCATAATATCTTCCCACCTTCCATTTCTCCACCTCCTGTCCATCGGACCTCGCACAGACCAACCACATCATATCTGAATCGTTCAAGTTCTTTCTTCATCAACGCGTAAGCCCCTGTCTGCCACAATGACCTGACATTCCAAACTCCAACTGTTAACCCCATTTTCAGTCTATCTTTCTGGGACTCAGTAGCATACTTTACACTGCAGCCTCTAGTCCCCAAAGCTGCAGCGCGGACCTTGTTCACCCGGGCGACGTCCGAGCCGGTATGTGCATACTTTTTTTGGACTACCATCGTGTTATTAGCGTTTTTACGACAGTGTAGCAAGCTCCTGTCAACCATTCCTTTCTATCCGGACTTTGGACCGGCCCCTGATGTTACTGGACCGCAACTCAGGTGGTGGAGTGTGGTTTCCTGCCTGGATTTGCTCCCATAGTCTTTCCCATGAACAGGTATGCCGCAAGGCAGCGGAGGTTTGAAGTCAGAGTTTTCCTTCTCCTAGGTAAAGAGCCGACCAAGGCTAACGAGCTTCACCTGCCCGAAGCATATATATATATAATATAAAGGGTGACAGAAATGTATTATAAAATTATAGACCAATATCTCTTCTGCCTGCATTATCAAAAATATTAGAAAAAATAATGTCAATTCGTCTTCGGAACTACTTAGATCATTTAAATTTCTTTACCGAATCACAATAGGTTTTTCGAAAAAATCGATCCACTGAGCTTGCTCTGTTAGACATCACCGAAAGTATTTTGAACAATATGGAGAGCAAATTCATCACAATTGGTCTGTTCTTAGACTTGAGAAAGGCTTACAACTCTATTAACCATGATATATTTAAAAAAAAATGAGTTGTATTGGGATCCGCCGTCCTTCTTATACATAGTTGGTGGCGGCGTGATGGTTTAATGGTTAAGGACGCCCGGTGCTGTTTCGCAGTAACCGGATTTGAATATGACAAAAAGTTCCCCGACTATCACATGCTTCTTGTGTGATGCGTCGTTTAGCATGTATTCATATACGATGTTTGTGCGCTTTGTGGAATCCTCTGAACTTTGGAAGAGTGTAATTGACCTTTAACCTTTTATAGTTTGAAAGTTATTCAAAATGTTTCCGTCAATTCGTCACAATTGGTGGTAACAAATCGGAAAACGTGATTGTCAAATACGGTATTCCACAGGGTTCGGTCTTGGGTCCGTTATTATTTATAATATTCATGAATGACTAGTCCGAAATTAGTAGTTTGTTGAAGACCATAATGTTTGCGGAAAATACTACTTTTTTACGTAGATGAGGTTATAGATAATAGGAATAATGAATTAACCAAAATTCATAATAGGTTTAATCTGCATCATTTATTTATAAATAATATAAAAAAAACAAATTTCATGATTTTTGGTCCTAAAATTGTAACAAATAGCATTAAAGCTAACATTCTTATTAATAATAATGTTATAGAGAGTCTCGATAAATAAATTTTCCTGACTAGATCATATCATATCATACCTCCAGAGCATCCATCAACCACTTGCACGAATCAATTGAAAATATTTCATTCACCTCCACACTTAATGTAGCACCTCATATTAAATCGCATCGTCACAAAAGGTTTTCAAACATTTTACGCACTTAAAACACTTATCAAATTTTTCGACATCACTGAACCACTCATCATCTTCGCACACCAAATATGCTGCTCCCTCCTGGTTTGGTTTCGCTACAAAACAACAACTTCAACAACTACAACTTCTCATCAAAAAACTAATTCGCCTCAACTATCTACCTGCATCATATCCTACCGTCACTGAAATATTAAGCACAATCGATTCAAGATTGTTCAAGAAAGTGGAAAATAACAACCACGTCATCCATCCTCTACAACCACCAATTAAAAATACTACACACAACCTTCGTCAACGCAAGTATAACTATCAAGTCGCCACCTAATCAACATACCAGGGTAAGACTTTCATAACAAAACACCTTAAATATATTAGCACTCAAAACTTCATCATTTACTCAATTTAGTTTTCTTTTTTCTTATCGATCGCTTAACTAACTCACTAAGTCATCAACTACATTATTTTATTTTTCATGACTTTACTTAAACATTTTTTCACCGTTATTTATTTTTCGTTATAATTTTATAGTACTATTGTCTTGCATGCTGTAACACTTTCTGCGTTTGTCAGATTCTGATTTTTTAAATAATAATAAAAAAAATTAAAATACAACATCGTATTCTAAAAATCGAAGAAACTAATAATGGCCTACGTGAGGTGTTCATTTGTCACAAGCTGCAAATGGAACTCGAGAAACATCAATAACGTACATGAATGAAACGTTGTTCAAAGTTCAGTTCATTTTTTCTATAACATCTGCTTCAACATCTAAAAATAGGTGGTCTGTTCTATCTAAACTTCTACATAAAAAATCTTCTCACTCATCTTTTTCTGCTCAACAGTTTCATGACTTTTTTGTAAATAAAATTACTTCTTTAAGAACATCTAATTCTAATTTTTCTTCTCATAACTTTACTGAACTTACTACTGAATCTTTCTCTGTATTTACTCCAATAAATTTTTTAGAACTAACTAAAATTATTAATTCTATGTCGTCTACAACCTGTTCTCTAGATCTACTTCCTTCTAATTTACTTAAAGAATTTTCTTCAATATTTTATCCAATCATTCTCAAATTAGTTAATTTATCTCTTTCCACCTCTAAATTTCATACTTCTTACAAGAATTCTATTGTTATTCCTATTCTTAAAAACTCATCCTTAGATCCTACCTCTTTATCTAATTATTGACCTGTAACTAATATTACTTTCATCTCTAAAATAATAGAAAAAGTTGTTTTTAATCAACTGTCATCCTATTAAGACTTTAACTCTTTGCTACCTGTATCTCAATCTGGTTTCAGACCTGCTCACAGTACTGAAACTTCTTTACTTAAAATACACAATGATATCCTTCTCTCTAGTGACAATAGTAATCTTACTCTTCTTCTTGCTCTTGACTTTTCCTCAGCTTTTGATACTGTTGACCATACTATTCTCTTGAGACTGCTGCATCTTTCTTTTAATATTACTGATTCTTGTCTATCTTGGTTTTTTTCTTATCTCTGTAATCGTTTTTCTTCTGTTGTTCTCAATAATTCTACTTCTAACTCCTCTACTCTTACTTTTGAGGTACCTCAGGGTTCTATCCTTGGCCCTTTTCTATTTATACTTTATACTTTTGAACTACCTCGTATTATTAATAGCTTTTCTTTCTCTAGTCAACTATATGCTGATGATTCTTACATTTATACTTCTTTTCCCCCATCTAATCTCAATAGTGTTCTTCATAATTTATCTCTCTGACTCTATGTGTCTTAAACTTAATCCTTCTAAGTTTGAATTAATTTGTTTTAATAAATCTAAACACTCTATTACTATTCCTCCTATTATCTTACCTGATTCTAAAACTCTTGATGTCTCTCATAAGTTTCGTAGTCTACGTTTTATCTTTGATTCTACAATGTCTCTCTCTTCTCAGATTAATGGTGTTGCTAAAAGCTCTTACTTTCATCTACGTAGAATAAAAAAACTTTTGCCTTTTCTTGATGATCCCACTCTTCTCCTTCTTGTTACTTCGTTAGTCTTATCTAGGATTGATTATTGTAACTCGCTCTACTATGGTCTTCCTGACTCTATACTCTATCCTTTAAGTAAAGCTTTTAACTCTGCTGCTCGTCTAGTTGCTCGTGCCCCTTTTTTTCTCATATATCCCCATATCTTGTTCTCTTGCATTGGCTACCTATAAAATATAGAATAATTTTTAAAATTTGTACGTTTATGTATAAGTCTCAATCTAAATTATTTCCTAAGTATTTATCAGATATATTAATTGAACCTAAACGCCCCGGTTTACGAACGTCTTCTTCTTCTCGCTTTTTCTTAACTTGTGTTAAACACCCTTTTGCCAAATCTGCTTTTGCTTTTTCTGGTCCCTTTCTCTGGAACTCTCTACCTATTCTCTGACTACTTCTCCATCACTTGCGAAGTTCAGAGCGGATCTCAAGATCCATCTGTTTTCAAAATTCATTGAGGAGCGCTGTTGAACATCGCGGAAATAGCGCTTTATAAGCTAATTGATTGATTGATTGAACTCACGAATAAAAATCATAAAAAATTTTTACTTGATACAGACAACACCTTGTTTCTTTCTTACTGCTCCTACTAATTTAGGGAGAAGGCATTTTCGTTTATTTAAATTTCAGAAAAAATATTCAATTGATAGTTTGTTGAAATTTAAATTCCGACACAACACATTTTAGTCAATTTTCCTAAATTTCATGTAAAATAACATAAACAACAATAAAAATAGCAGATGATGAGCAATACAAACTAGTTCAAACGGTCACAGTTTGGTGGACCAGCTAAAAATTAGTATTTTATTGATCAAATCCATTAAAAAATAATAATAAAAGAAATAATAATAAATATTCACGCCTTCGTACATTTTTGTTAGAATGTTTCCTTTGAATTTTACATAATTGAAGTGGTTTAAATCACTCAGCAGCATTATTGGCGTACCAATCCACGTGGCTAAGGTTTAGAATATTTCGTGGTTAATCGGCTGGATTAAGTTTGAACGTATGAAGAAACCTCAACGGCATAATAAATAGTGTCCTCTTCCACCTTATAGTTGTATTCCTAGGCTCATATTTTGTACATTCAGTTGTAAACCGCTTCGTTTGATTGGATTAAAATTGCTCTTTCCTTCAACATGTATAATGCAAGATGTTGGATAATCGAAACCGGTTCCATCAGTCAGAGTAATCAAATCTTTTACAGTGCCATGAAAATCATTCGGAATATTTAAATTTAATTTTCCGTTACGTATTTCAATTAAAAATTCTTATAACTTTTGTTTTGATAACCTTAGTTTGGAAATTAATACACCGCGTGCTAACTTTTAAAGATATATCTTAGAAACGAAGCCATGAAATTGAAAATGTTAAGCAGGCTTTGATTTTATCTGCAAACGTTCCTATTGTTAAAACATAAGATGATTGTCTACGCATGAGTCGAATGAAATTGAAAATGTTAAGCAGGCTTTGATTTTATCTGCAAATGTTCCTATTGTTAAAACATAAGATGATTGTCTACGCATGAGTCGAATGTTTCCTCATATGTTCCTAAGTATCTTGTTTAGGGCCAAGATTCTATCATGGATGATATCATGTTTCTTTGCGTTTAATTTAGTTTTTTTTTAGAAATTAATTATTTCACGTCTATAGTTTAAAATTATTATAAATCAAAAGTTTTTTTTACACAATTATTAATATATAAAAGATATCAAACTGTCAGTTTTTCACCGTTTCATGATGTTGCTAACTATTTATTTAATACTTAAATATATTAATTGTGCAATTAATGTGTCTTAAAATCTACAAAATTAAAAATAAAATGTTTTAACGTCATCAAGTCTAACTTATATTTATACTTCTTTTCCTCCATCGAATCTCAATAGTGTTCTTCATAATCTATCTCTGTGTCTTTCTCCAACTAAAGCTTGGTCTGACTCTATGTGTCTTAAACTTAGTCTATCTATATTTGAATTAATCTGTTTTACTAAATCTAAACACTCTTACTATTCCTCCTATTATCTTACCTGATTCTAAAACTCTTGATGTTTCTCACAAGTTTCGTAGTCTAGGCTTTATCTTTGATTCTAGTAATGTCTCTTTCTTCTCAGATTAATAGTGTTGCTAAAAGTTCTTACTTTCATTTACGTAGAATAAAACAAATTTTTCCTTTTCTTGACGATCCTACTCTTCTCCTTTTTGTTACTTCTTTAGTTTTATCTAGGATTGATTATTGTAACTCGCTCTACTATGGTCTTCCTGATTCTACACTCTACCCTTTAAGTAAAGTTTTTAACTCTGCTACTCGTCTAGTTGCTCGTGCTCTTTTCTTTTCTCATATATCTTCATATCTAGTTCTCTTGCACTGGTTACTTATGAAATAAAGAATAATTTTTAAAATTTGCACATTTATGTAAAAGTCTCAATCTAAATTATTTCCTAAATAGGGATATATTAATTGAACCTAAACGCCCCGGTTTACGATCGTCTTCTTGTTCTCGCTTCTTCTTAACTTGTGTTAAACACTCTTTTGCTAAATCTGCTTTTGCCTTTCCTGGCCCTTTTCTCTGGAACCCTCTACCTACTTCTCTGACTACTTTTTCATCACTTACAAAGTTCAGAGCGGATCTCAAGACTTTTATGTTTGCAAATTCATTGAGGAACGCTGTTGAACATCGCGGAAATAGCGCTTTATAAACTAATTGATTGATTAATTGATTGATTGATTGATAGATAAATTGATTGATTGATTGATTGATTGGTTGGTTGGTTGGTTGGTTGGTTGGTTGGTTGGTTGGTTGGTTGGTTGGTTGGTTGGCTGGTTGGTTGGTTGGTTGGTTGGATGGTTGGTCGGTTGGTTAGTTGGATAGTTGGTTGGTTGTTTGGTTGGTTGGTTGTTTGGCCGGCCGGCCGACTGACTGATTTATTGATTGATTAGTGAATGGCATTTGAACAACTAATATTTGAAGTTTTAAAAAAGTTATTAGTGCCCACTTTCATTTCTAAACTTCTTCAACTATCGCACAAAGTCAATATATCAGTCAAAATTAAATTTATAATTTTTTTAACACGATTAATAGGATACTCCAACTCTAAGAAATTATTAATACCTCAAATTAAATCAAAGTTGAAACAGCTCAACAACCGCCAAGCACATGTGGCACCACTGCAGGTTTGGGATTAAGTTGACAAATTTTGATTTCAACAATTGCTAAAATAATGTTTTTCACTAAACCAAAGCCGTAGAAGCAGCTGTTTTCTGTACTTTAAACCGGGCATGCGTGTAAGAACGTAACTTTTTTCTCAACTCATTTTACTCTATTCTAAGTATTCTTGAACCATGGATATATATAATTATATTGTTATTATTATGTAATCATTATATATATATATATATATATATATAATATTTATATCCATGGAATGGATTGATAATATTTATATCCATGTGTAGCTGCAGGCTGAAAAAAATAGGAGCTGATGTGAGCTTCTGCACTGTGTTCCGAGACAGTTCGTCCAGCAAACTAATTTTAATGTTGCAAACTAATAATAAATCTTGTTTTAACTATTTGGATTTTCAATAGGACAGGAACGTTTGTCCGACTTTGCATTGCTAAACATAGTGAAGAAGCTAATTGAAACATCAACGGTGACAATATCGCCGAAATCGCTTGAGAAAATTAGACTGTCGCAACAGGTTGCCAAAATGTTATGTAAGCTTTTTATTTTAATGCCAATACGGATGTATGTTGCTACGCCAACAGAGCTTACGCACATTATTCAACATCGATCTACCAATCAATTTGTTTGTAAAGCGCTATTTTCGCGATGTTCAACAGCGCTCCTCAGTGAGTTTTGCAAACATATGGTTCTCGAGATCCACTCTGAACTTCGTAAGTGATGGAAAAGTAGTCAGAGGAGGATGTAGAGGGTTCCAGAGAGAACGGTCAGAAAAAGCTAATGCAGATTGTTTAACGCGAGTTAAGATCGTAAACCGGGACGTTTAGGATCAATTAATATATCTTATAAGTACATAGGAAATAATTTAGATTGAGACTTATACATTAATGTGCAAATTTTAAAAATTATTCTATATTTTATAGGTAGCCAGTGCAAGAGAACAAGATATGGAGATATATGAGAAAAGAAAGGGGCACGAGCAACTAGACGAGCAGCAGAGTTAAAAGCTTTACTTAAAGGATAGAGTTGAGTCAGGAATACCGTAGTAAAGCGAGTTAAAATAACCAGGCCTAGATAAAACTAAAGAAGTAACAAGAAGAGTAGGATCGTCAAGAAAAGGCAAAATTTTTTTATTCTACGTAGATGAAAGTAATAACTCCTAGCAGCACTGTTAATCTGAGAAAAAAAGACGTGCTAGAATCAAAAATAAAGTTTAGACTACGAAACTTATGAGAAACATCAGGAGGTTTAGAATCAGGTAAAATGATAAAAGGAATAGTAATAGAGCGTTTAGATTTATTAAAACAAATTAATTCAAACCAAGAAAGATTAAGTTTAAGATACATAAAAGCACACCAAGCGATAATTGTAGAAAGACAGAGAGATGAACACTATTGAGATTAGATGGAGGAAAAAAGGTATAAATATAAGAATGATCAGCATGTAGTTGACTATTAAAAGAAAAAATAGTATAAAGTATAAATAGAAGATGGCCAAAGATAGAACCCTGAGGTACCCAAAAGTAAGAGTAGAGGAGTTAGAAAGAACATTAGAAAGAACAGAAGAAAAACGATTACAGAGATAAGGAGAAAACCAAGATAGACAAGAATCAGTAATATTAAAAGAATGTCCTAGCAGTCTCGAGAGAATAGTATGATCAATATGAGGGGTGCGGACAAGTTTTGCTGTACGGGTCCTGGCAAACTCGGAACGTCACTGGTACCAGGCCGACAACGCCTTATGAAATCTATAATCCCTCATAAAGCATCGTTTTGCATCTTCCATCAATGGTCTTAGAATTTAGTGTATTTAACATTGCACATTTAAATGTTTTAGTTTTATTAATAACTAATCTTCTCAAAAACAAATATTTTTTTAGTACTTCTGTTAAAAAAATTGAAAAAATACAAATCGTTGGTAGCATCTAAGATCTTTTGAAGAGCCTTAAAGTGAGAAAAATTATGTGAAAACAATTTAGCGCAATAATAAATTATGACATTAATCAGAAATCATCAGATTAATTGTTGCATTGACGTTCAAGACGTTTGGAAATTATAAGGCACCACAATCTGCTATGACGATAGGATTGCTTGTTTCACCACTGTCTGATCCTTCTGCTTCAATCTTTGCCACAGTTGCCTGTCCTCCAATGACCTGCCCAAAAACTACATGCTTTCCATTCAACCTGTGCACAGAATACAAAACAATGAAACGTCAGGAACACTATGCAGATAAAAATTAATAAATATTTGAGCTAACCAATCAGTTTTTTCAACAGTGATGAAAAATTGAGAACCATTGGTATCTGGACCAGCATTTGCCATGGACAACAGACCTTGGAAATTGAAATAAGTTAACTTAGTAACTTATGACTTAATAAACTTTCAATAAATAATTCTAACCTGGTTTTGCGTGCCCAATGACAAAACTTTCATCAGCAAATTTTTCTCCATAGATGCTCTTCCCACCTGTCCCATTGCCTCTGGTGAAGTCACCACCTTGACACATGAACTTGGGAATGACACGATGGAACTTGGAGCCCTTGTAACCGAATCCCTTTTCACCAGTGCACAATGCTCTGAAGTTCTCTGTAAAATCAAAATTTAATTAAATGTTAGTGGCTTTAATATTGAATGAACATATTATCCAGTTAGAAAACCAGGTTTTATATGCATTGTACCCTGGTATATATCAAATTGTTATCAATAAATAACGCAAATACAACTCTTAATCTAGAAAAAGTATGGAGGTCGTATGTTAAAAAACACCCTTGAAATACTGAAAAAGATTATAAAATTAGTTTAAGTTGAGTATTGGAAATAAGATTTTATTACCATCTCAAAAGCAAACCTTTTTTAGTAATAAATTTTAATCTGTCTCAAAGAGCTCATTGGGCCCAACAAATTGTTTCTTTTAAGGATAGAGTTTGCAAACATGTGGGTTTATTTTTACATTGAATGGACACACAACATATAAAACTAAAAACAACTTTAACCCATGCCATAAGATTTATTTATTACATTTAATTTTAATAACAATGTTGTTTTTGAATAGTTTAAAAAAACTTTTCATACATTTTTTCAATAAAAATACTTATCAGTGATATAAAAAAAAATTGTAAAAACAAAATAAGCACAAACCAGCTGTCTTGGGAACAATGTTCTTGAAGAGCTGACAAATAATTGTTTCACGTAAATGAAATTTTTAATTCACACATTAAAAAGTAAATTAATAAATAATTCACTCCATTTACAAAACTTAATAGAAAATAGAGACTAAGAGGAGAAGCCTAAACTAAATTAATTGAAAAAAGCCTCAAAATTCTTACTCATTTTCTATCCATTATTTAATTTTTTATACCTAATACCACCACTTTTAATTAAATTAATAAATAAAATAAAAAAACTAACAAATTTTAATCTAACTTTAAAAGTCTAAATTAACTAATAAATTTAAAATAAAATATTAAGCCATTAGTAGTTTAATCAATGATCAATGATAAAAGTGTGAACGTTATTGAACTGGTGAGATGAACCAAAGGAAATTAGAGTCGAAGGTTAGAAGAACTGAATGTAAAGGACGAACAGGTGTCAAGTCAAGCATACATACACTAACGTTGAAAATTGTAAATAACCTCGAAGGTGATTCTTCCAGCGTCGGCGCCACCAATTGAGATATCAAAATAAACTTTTGGGTTGCCTGGGTTGGAAGCCTGATCAGGCGTCATCGTGGCGGCCTCCTTAACGAGTTCGGAGCGTGATTTAGACATGTTTTCTGAAAGCGATTCACGCAGGAAGAACGGGCAGGCAGACGATAATTGCAAGCGGTGAATAATTTATCTGAACGCGAATCCCGGTTTATATAGCAACAACAGGAGTACTTTGTTAGCTGTTCTGTTAGGTGAGCTGGCCTGGCTGCTACGTCTTTTATGCTAATTACCCGAATCAATTTTTATTTTAAATGTCAAAAAATTCTGCAAATAAAAGTTTAGCAATGATTTATATTGTCGAAATTTAAATCATTATTTCAAACTATTGATAAAAGATTGGATAACTGAAGATAACGAAACATTATTTAGTTTTTGGTTTTATCCATTTATCTATCAGCTAGATAATAATTATTTTACGGAAAATTTCCAGTCTCGTGCTGAGTCCAACAATCAACCACACACAGCGTAACGCACACACACTCAAACACACACACACCACACATAAATAAATATATATGTATTTACATATGTATTTATATATGATATGGTATTTATTTATTTATTTCAGTATAATATATATATGTATATATATATATATAGACACGTGTGTGTGCACGCACGTGCGTGTATTATTTTAGAATAGACCTGGTTTACTGCGTTCTCTCCATTAAAAACTGGATATTTATTATGGATGATTTATGAATGAAGTAAACGCTTCCCGGTCAACGGATAGTTCGAGTATTGCACATTGGTATTTTATATTGGTATGGCTGTTTGTGTGGGGTGGTATCATATTTTTTCATAATATCTGCTTACTAGAAGCAAGAGCAACATAGACGCAGTGATGATGAGTACTTGAGTACATATGCGCTTAAGTACCAAAACTGTATCTCAATACTTTAGAACGTGTAAAAAATAATTCTTAAATAGTTATAATTGAATGCATTTTCAGTATTTTTATTTATAAATAATGAAAATTTTTGTAAGTACTGAAATAATTTTTAATTTATGTTAAATTTTGACATTTCTTCTAAGGCTGTAACTGTAGACGATTTCGGCTCCGGTCAAATTACGGCCAGTTTTCCGGATTCGGCTCGTTGAGCCGACTTTTTGCCAACTAAGTTTGAATGTATTTGTATGTACGTATGTATATACGCATTTACATATTGCACATTTAATTTTTACGGGTGTGTAAGTGTCCATTATTCAATGAACGTATTGTACATTTCACAAGCAATGAAGTTGAAGAATTACGATCCGGTCACTTGGAACATAGATGTCTCGATGTAATAACAGGCTATTACATCGAGATGTCTATGCTTGGACCATCAGAGAAAGATGTGACTAGCTTGATTATATTTTAATTACTTTTAAATTACCAGACATTAACACCAATTATCGAGATTAAGAAATTTTTTCCTAATTATTTTAACGTGCGGTGCGGCATGTATTATCGCTATAATCATACATGTTTTTGTTAATATGTAGGCCTTGATGTAGGACGTTTGTTTTCATGTATATGATTGTATATATATATATAAATAATTACGGAAATCAATAGAGATGTATTTATTCAAATTGCATTAAATTTCAGTTAATTTATTGAGTTGTTGGCATCTGTTAGAAAAAGGATCTATGCTGGATTTGAGATTAATATTTCCAAGTTATTAAAGCCGCTGCAACAAGTTATAACTGTGTAACACATACACAAATCTGGCTTCGGCTCCGACTGGATTTGTGTTTATAAATTCAATCATAATATTAGTTAGTAATAACAATAAACTAATAAAACTTGTTATCTGAAGTGGACAAATAAACAGCTGCAACATATACTTAAATAAATAAATTTTTATATTTTGATTTAACTGCAAAAGTACTTATGTACTTGAATTCAAGGAATTTTTAAGCGGAATTTCTTTATCGAATCTTTTCCATTTTACGTTCTACACGAAGAGAAGCAATGACGTCACTCGTCTATCTCGTCCGTTATAATTGTTGCAGAGGAGTTTCAGAGGGTGATCTTTAACAATGTTGTAGGTAAAATTTAGCACATATTTTACATCACGAGTTTTAATACATGATATTGCTCACTCTACCTGGTTTTTGGTAATTTTTTTTACTATCTCAATAATTTCTAAGTACTCTCAAATATGTGTTTCTGATATGTCCCATAGCTGAACATCAGCTATGTCACAGATGTAAGTCGAGGAAAAGATTTTGAAACGCTTTCCAGTGTCCCACAAACATTACACAAGTTTGATATCTTCAAAACGCTCAGGTTAAGCAAAAAATGGTAAATGTTTTTACTAATTTGCTAGATTTTGGCATGTACTTTAGAGTGCAAATCTGCCGCAATGGAGGCGTCAACGATAGCCTTAAGTTCAGAGGCGTATCTAGGAGGGAGGCGGGTGATACATTTGTCCCCGGGCGCCATGTACAGAGAGCGCCAAAATGAGGTTGACAAAATTTTCACAACAAGAGTAAATATCTTATCACAAGCAGAAAAGAAATTATTCATTTGCCAAAAAACTTTACATGTCAAAATAAACAGTACAAATCAAAAATATGAAGTATTAATAAATTAATAATAAATGTCGTGATAAATTTTGACTTCCCATTTTTTAACACATAACAACGCTACAATTAAAATAAAGAGCACCAGCGCCACCGGTACACACATGGATATATTATATAATCCATGGGTACACACCGTTCCATGTAAAATGTATGTTTTGAATTTGGTTTAAAAGTAAAAAAAGACGTAGAAACGGTTTGAACTCTTTTAAAGTACAGTAAGCTGTATTTTATTAAGTATTATTTTTCAGTAAGTTTAGATTATCATATGTTATAATTTGTACGTGTATGTTATATCTTTAGATACAATGTTTCATTAAAAAAAGTGATTAAACCATGGATATAATATATATAGATGTATTATATATAAACGTGGTGACTAAAGTATTTAATATTGCGAGCTTTAATTTTACAAACCAAAATTTTCCAATTTATCGAAATTTCAACCTCGATGAAGCACGGGTTAGCATAATCCAATTGAGCTAAAACTTTACAAATGTCATTTTTTAGTCAAGTGGCACAATTTAAGGGGTTCCCCCGATAAGATTTTGAAAAAAAAATTCTTGTGACCACCCTAATGAGCATGTTGTTTAGCAAGAAGTGTATGTTAGTATCTATATTTGCATGTATGTGTATTTGTTTGTGTACATTCGCATGTATGTATATATTTACTTGTGGACATGCATATGTAAGTTACCACTTATGTATGCCCACTCTTGTCATTATTTTTGATCATACTTTGCTTCATTATCATTAACTTTCAATTTTGTTTTAATTGGTATTATCATTTTTCTGTTACATTACTTTTGTCATTATCCTTGATCTTTGTTTCATTATCATTAAATTAAATTTTGTTTTATTTGGCTTTATAATTTTTCTGTTACATTCTATTTTTCCTAAGCATTGTTCTTCGTTGTTTAGATATTTTTTATTTTTCCCAGTTATTATTTTTATCGTTTTGATTATTACCGGACATTACTTTTCATTTATTCGGACTGGGTAGCCCCACAAACGCAAGCTTCAGGTCTCCTAGTGATTGGTATATGTTATTGTCATGTGTTGGTTTACTGAATAAAAAGCTAATTGAATTGAATTGAATTGAATCCTCTATAGTTTACAATAGAAAGTTTACAAATATAGCAAGGATAACAATAATTGGAATAACAAATAATATAGCGCAATTTGATCCTTCCGCGGTTATAAAAGTATTATTTGTTTTAAAAATTTGAAATGTAAATGATATGACAAACATACAATACAAAATAAGTTTATACTCTTATAGTGGCACAAGAAGACCGCGTCAGTGATGGGGAAACTCTGAGATATCCTATTTATGCTACAGTAGTTGTGTTTTGAAGTTATTATTTGTTTTTGTGTATATTATTTTTCTTCAGTTCCACTCATTGACAAATCTATGGCTAAAAAATTTTTGCTTTATATTTTCTGAGCTTTTTTGAACATTTTACAATCGTGTCCACTTGTTTCTTTCTTTTTTTATTCTAAGCTCAAAAATTTTCTGATTTCAAACCATTTTTCATTATTAATCTGAGAATAAAGAGACATGCTAGAATCAAAGATAAAATCTAGACTACAAATTTGTGACAAACATCAAGAGGTTTAGAATCAGGTAAGATGATAGAAAGAATAGTAATAGAGCGTTTAGATTTATCAAAACAAATTAATTTAAATTTAGAAGGATTAAGTTTAAGACACATAGAGTCAGACCAAGCGATAATTGAAAAAAGACATAGAGATAGATTATGAAGAACACTATTGAGATTAGATGGAGGAAAAGAAATATAAAAAATATAAGAATCATCAGCATCATATAGTCGACTAGTGAAATTGCGTCCCTTGTGACTTAATGGCGATTTACGTGTTACATAATTTTTTATTCATATTAGCCAAGTCTAGAATTTTTTTTTATTAAAACAAAAAGCCCGGAAGATGGTAACTATGATGAAAATAATACTATAGAATTTCAATCAATCAATCAATCAATCAATCAATCAATCAATCAATCAATCAATCAATCAATCAATCAATCAATCAATCAATCAATCAATCAATCAATCAATCAATCAATCAATCAATCAATCAATCAATCAATCAATCAATCAATTAGCTTATAAAGCGCTATTTCCGCGATGTTCAACAGCGCTCCTCAATAAATTTTGAAAACAGATGGGTCTTGAGATCCGCTCTGAATTTCGCAAGTGATGGAGAAGTAGTCAGGAAAGTAGACAGAGAGTTCCAGAGAAAAGGACCAGAAAAAGCAAAAGCAGATTTGGCAAAAGAGTGTTTACCATGAGTTAAGAAAAAGCGAGAAGAAGAAGACGATCGTAAACCGGGGCGTTTAGGTTCAATTAATAAACTGGAATTTGCTTAAAGTATCTCTCCCCTGTTCGCTCTACTGGAAGAAAGGGACGCAATATCGTCATGTATCTATTATGAATGATGCTGAAGGACTCCAGGTCAACGTTTAGATCGAACGCCTCATTTCAATACCTCATGCAATTCGGTTGGTGATACCGGGGTCGTCACGCCTTGATTCGCAACTAGAAATTGATTTGTAAATTGAAAAATAAAAAATTACTGCAATAAAGTAACGAATACTTGAAGAGAGAAAGTTTTCAGCGCTCGACGCCAAATTTTGTTGCTTAAGTAACGTTTCATCGTCCACATGTTTTAGTTCTTTGGTCTAAAGATCCTTCTTGTAGATTTTTGTAAATAAGGAAGTTAGTGAGACAATCTTGCGGATTAGCTTTGGTCAGTGAAGGAAGTTTTAAAAGAAGGTTTCAAAATATTATACTCAAATCACTAATCAAATCATTTATCAATTTGTTAATTGAATTTTTAATCATTTTATTTTAATAAATTATTTAAAAAAAATTTAACTGATTAATAATGATCATTTCATTATTAGATTAGTTAGCACATTAAAAAATTAAATCTATTTTAAATACACTTATAATAAAAAATCTATGAGAAACAATAAAATGCGAGTAATTGTAGTTTAAAAGCAACAAAATCCGTCATAGTTTTTAGCCGGGCCATCAATTATTAATAATGTATTAAAATTAATATTAAATTATTAAATTAATTGATTGATTAAGAATGCATTAAAATTTGAAATAAAAAACATACATATGTATGTTTTTTTATTTGACCTATATAATATATATATAAATAATAGAGTATGTATATAAAAATTTAATTATGATAATTTATATAAAAATAAATAATATAAAAAACCTGATAGGATATAGATAGACTGATAGATAATGTTATTATTATTATATTATTATTATTATACAACTATTTATATTATACTATTATAGCCCAAGCCAAGCCATATCATATTATTAAATAAAATTTAAATGTAAAATTTAAATAAATATAAAATTAATATTAAAATTTTATTAAAGTTTAATATTTATGTCTCTAAAATAAATTAATAATCAAATTATAATATTATATGTTTAATTAAAATTATTAATTTAATTTAATTATTAATAATAAAATACTGATTGATTAGCTGGCAAAGTAAAAATAAATTAACAAAAAAATCTATCTTACAGTCAGATATGTTGGTTCTTGGTTTTGTTTGTTTTTCGAGTAGGCAATATAGAATATAGAGTAATGAAGTAAAGCAAAGGCAAAACCCTTAGGCTTAAAAAAGTTAAAACTATGGATGACTTCAGATAGGTTGCTGAAGGAAGTCGAACTAAAAACTGAATTGAAATAATGTATCAGACCAAAAACTGAATTGAAAATTTCTAATATTGTATTAATAAGTTGAGAAAGTTCATAATTAATTTTAACAAAAAATTATCATTTAGAAAAAGTTTGTTTTCTGAACTTAACTTGGTCTGGTTAATTAAGAGATGGTTCAAGTTTTTACATTCAAATAAGAAATAGTTCTAATAGTTTCAGTTATAAATTATGTTACAAACTTACTCGTTAAGTTGATCTTTTTTTTGAAAATGAGGCCAATAATTTCTTTTTAAAATTCTGAAATTATTTTTTTAAAAGAGAAAAAAATGTGGAAAGCAAGTGCAGGTCACAACATAAAATCATCAACCTCGGATGATAAGGACGATTGGGATACGGATCCAAACTTTGTTGTTAGTTTTGTTCACTGCAGCTTTCATTCATAATTGGCTTATTCAATAATGATTCATCAGATGTAATTATGTTTTTCTTCCTGGTAATTATTTCAATATGATGAAATCCCAAAAAAGAATGATGTTTCTGAAAAAGAGCAAAGATGGGGTGCCAAAACAGTTGAAGGTTCTGGTCACGTGGGGTCCATAAGGTTCCTTTCATCCTTTCATTTATTTCCAATCTTTAAAAATTATTCACACAATCTAACAAATAAAATTTATGCTATAAAAAAATCAGCCTAGGAAAGTTGAGAGAGGACGTAGCAAGTGAAGATTCCAGTGTGAAGAAGAAGCAATATGAATCAGGCCCCAAAGCGTCGTACGGTTATGGAGGAGCATTTGGTGTTGAAAAGGACAAGAAAGATCAAGTTTTAATTTTTTGTCATTTTGTTTTCTAAAAAAGCAAACCTATCAGTTTGTAACTCTGTAATGCCAAATAATATGGAAATTGTTTTCAAAGGAAAAATTTGCATTTACCATTCCCACGGATTATTTAAAAACCAACACACGTCATTATTTTTTTACATACTCATTTTTGTTCTCTGATACAATGCCTAGAAGGTTTACAAACCTATGATGATGATGGTAACTGAGGTTATTGTCATGATGAACATTGTTCAGGAGACATATTATTTATAATTACAATCATTACGATGAACATCAATTGCACATCTCAATTGCACATATCAATTGCACTTCTCATCTCCTCAATCACACATCTCAATGGCATGACAGGCTGCCGTGGACTTCGGCTACAAAGCTCCCCTCTCACAGCATGCCAGCCAGGTGGATGCAGCAAAGGGGTTTGGAGGTAAGTATGGAGTGCAGACAGATAGGAAGGATTCGTCGGCTCTCGGCTGGGACTACAAGGAAAGTCTCGAGAAGCATGAGTCACAGAAAGGTTTGTTGCTTCATCTCAATCTTATTACTTCCGTCATTATTTATTAGCTTCCAACTATTTGCTGAACATAATTATTAATTTTCAGATTATGCAAAAGGATTTGGAGGGAAGTACGGAGTGCAGACAGACAGGAAAGACAAATGTGCCAAGGATTGGTCTGAGAAGAGTGAACTTGGCAAGCACTCCTCGCAAACTGATTACAGCAAGGGCTTCGGTGGCAAGTATGGGCTGGAGAAGGACAAGGTAGATGAGTGTGCAAAAGGGTGGGATGAGAAAGCAAGTGTGGAACCTCATCCATCCCAGGTGGATCATAAGAAGGGATTTGGCGGGAAGTTCGGAGTTGATAAGGAGAACATGGACAAGGTAGGTCAATCTTTCTTTCTTAACATGGTGCCGTTAGAAGAATTTTTTGATTATGCCAGTGAATTGTTACATTTGTTGAATCTGTCTGAACCTGTCTGTGATGATTAATATATTTAAAATATAAGGCTTATGCTTTCACGAACATAAAGATCAGAATTTTTGCTTGTAAATATGAATCCACTGATAAATAATACTCCGTTGCATTGTACTGCATACGGCTGTCGACTTGTTGCCTCCTGAGTTACCTTCATAGGCACTGACAGTGCTCCATCTTGTTTAAGAGATGATGTTTTGAACGGCTTTTGAAAGCTTCTGATATTCGTATAAACTTTCACATCTGCCAGCTGTTAGTTCCAAATGGTGGCCGAAGGACCTGGCAACAATTTCACACCCAAACGCATTGCTTTGCTGGTTTTCACTCAACTTTGTTCACGACATCAGAGAAAAATTTAATTTCAAAATGGCGCATTTCAAAAAAACAATTTTTCTACGTTCAGAACCAGTTCAGTTGATGCCATCTTGCACTTTTTAATAACATGCAGAATGGAGTTGCAAAAATAATTTTTTTTGCCAGTAAAACTTGCAACGACACGAAGTTCAACAACTGGGTCGTTGAACTTGCTTTCGCACTGAGATCTGCGCTCCCCACCATGCCCCACATATTTAGTCCTGTTGTAATTCAGCTTCAACCTGCCTGCCGACATCCACTGTTCATCGAACTTGAAACGGCAGTCAAGTGAAGTCGTACACCCGATCATCATCTGCATATAAATGACAACTGAGACCAGACTTCTCAGCAATGTCAGCCGCACATTAAATGTAGAATAGAGAACCAAAAATGGATCCGTGGGGCGCGTTCCGTCCGATGTCGATGCTGCTGATCTTGATCACATGTTAACAACTTGAGTTTGTTTGGACAACCATGACTGACATCAGTCATATGCACGATCCTTTCACTGTGGCTAGTCGAAAGTCGTTTTTACAACATGTTACCTGTGATCAACTCACACTGCCATTGAATGGTGACAGCAGGCAGGCAGACCTTATTTTCATCAACTGCTTCAAAGACGTCTGAAATTACTTTCATGTAAATAACGCTGAATATTACTTAATAATAATGTATATATAAATAGATGCATAGAAAATATTCTCTATTAAGAATCTGTGATAAATGATACACGATACTGTTAAACGATTTATAAAAAGTTGTGTGTGTGTGTTTGTGATGTGCAGAGTGCGAAGGGTTTCAATGAGAATGAGGGGGCTGTGGTGGGAACCAACTACACGAAAACCAAACCGGAAGTGAAAAGTGAGACGATTTCATATTGAAATACATTCAGACATTAACACACATGTATGCCATTTGCGACTCAATTTCATTTGAATGATGCTGCTGCCCCACAAACGTAATATGGAATGGGTCGTGTTTATAATTCAAACAACTTGCAATTGAAGCAATTCACGCATGCACATCTGCTTGTTGAACATTTTTTTTATTCTTTGTCATATATGTGCGTGTGTGCATAAATAATTAAATAAATATATATTTTTTTAAATCTGTAAATCAAACTCTGTTATACGCAGAGAAAGTAACTGCATGCAAGGTATGAAACGATGAAAATAAAATTATGACTATATATAAATATATATATATTTATATATATATTATATATATATATATTTATATATAGATATACAGACGTTTTTGTTATGCTTAGGTTCCGACGGTGCTAAAAATCTAGCAGCCAAGTTTGAACAGTGGTCGAAGCCAACCAGTGAAGTGAAACCGATGCCGAAATCTGCGAACGTTGCGAAGAAAACACCCAGCATCCCTGCCCCCGCACCTGTCCCCTCCCACGAGGCACCATCAAAACCACCTCCCACTACCACCACCACCACAACACCAACAGTGCAGGAGGAACGTCACCCTCCTCCATCTCCACAATCGAACGCTGCAGTTGAACCGAAGTACGAGCAGAAGGTGGCACAAGAGGAAACCTACGACGACGTGACTTCCGACTACGTGACCCAGCGGGATTACGACGAATTCGAAGCTGAGGACGACAGCCAACCACAGAGCAGCCAACAAAACCAAGATGTACCCACCTCCCATTATGAATATCATCTTATTTTGCCGCTGTTGTCGTCATCTTTTTAAATAATTTTTGTTTTTGTCGCAAAATTTGAGACGATTTTTTGTTCATTGTTTTCTCATCCATCTCATCTACCTCATCCACCCCATCCATCCCATCCACCTCATTCGTGCTCGTTTGCTAAATTGTGAGGTGCAAGTTGATGATGAGTATCCTTATATTCAACCGTTCTTTTAATTGGGAGGAGGACAAATGTTGACCACATAATTGCCACCACCACAGGAGTGGGGCGATGAAGATGTCCAGCAAGCGACAGGGACGGGGGAGGTCAGGGCCGTTGCCTTATATGACTACCAAGCAGGTAGGTGCTCCTCCACATCTTCTCTGCTGCTTCATTTTCTATCATCACCATCATCACTGTCAGCTACCATCCTCACCACCACCAGTAGACGTTCATCATTTCACCCACCCGTCATCGGGAATTAATAACGGCAAGTTGGCACGACCGTTAGAAGCACCTGATGGAGCCGTGCGGTGGCCCAGTTCGAATTCGAATGGACGCAAATATATGATGCGCTGATTCTTACGCCTTTGCATACGTCATCATCATCTCCTGCATCACCACCACCTTATCAATCACATCATCATCATCTTCTGCATCACCACCATCTCATCAGTCATCATCATCATTCTTCATCGTCAGTACGGTTTGCATTTGTTTGCACAATTTTGAGTTGGTGATAGTGATGATGGTCGGAATTAATTAATCCCCTAAAAATAATTAATCTATTCATGATGCACCTACCAGCTGACGATGACGAAATAACTTTCGATCCGGATGAGATCATTGAAAACATCACATTCGTTAGTTTACCTTCCTCTCATTCAAACATTCATAGCATGTTCATTCCATCCAACTGAATCATGGGAGGGTGACAGCCTTCGTTATTAACATTATTAACGAAATATGCCAACATTACAATAACATAATTTAAACATGCTGATATCAACACGATGATACTAACGTGATGATATCAACATGCTGATATCAACGTGATGATATCAACATTATGATATCAACGTGATGATATCAACGTGATGATACCAACGTGATGATACCAACGTGATATCAACATGATATCAGAAGCGATAACACGACATAGACATAATGTATCGTGCTATCGATACAACGATAGCATATGATGACGTGATGGTAACACTCTACAACAACATCATGACGCTAACAATGCAACACTCTGCCATGTTAGCCCACAACAAGTAGTAGCGCGCAACAACGATGACGCACCTGACAACGACATTATAATAACATATGATAGTAGCATGATAACATATGATAACATATTACAGTAACATGATAACATATGATAACATGTTACAGTAACATGATAACATATTACAGTAACATGATAACATATGATAACATATTACAGTAACATGATAACATATGATAACATGTTACAGTAACATGATAACATATGATAGTAACGTGATGATTATAACGATGATGATTTGAACAGATTGACGAAGGCTGGTGGAGAGGTACTTGCCGCGACAGGACTGGCCTTTTCCCATCCAACTACGTCAAACTCATCCAATAATAACCACCATAATAATAATAATAATAATCATCATCATCACTTTAATCCTAATCCTACTCGCTAGCACACTGGCAATTCTATCATCACCATCACAACCCTTACATTCCTATCATCTTCATTTCTTCAGCGCTATCAGTCATCCCGGAAACTCAATCAGTCATTCTTCCATTTGTGTTGAAAATTGCGGCGTTTTATTGAGATGCTTAATATATAATACATGTAATGATGCTTCATATTTATATATATATATATGTGTGTGTGTGTATATATATATATATATATATATGTATGTATAATATATATATGCATTTATATCATGTCTGAAATGATACTATTGTCCATTGATGCTCATATATTTTATCATGGAACGTCTAACTTTTAAATAGATTTTATTCATTTGAATATGATCATGTTCGTTCACAACATTTAAGAACACTTCGTTCACCCGATGAACATGTTTATTTATTTTGTTGCGTTTGTAAACCATGTTCTTGGCATTCAAGAACATTTTGGAAACATTTGGTTCATTCGATCGTCACGTTATATTTTTCTAATCATGATCCGAGGCTTTCTATTTATTCTTATAAAAACCGATCAAACGTTTAAGTTGTTCTTTGGTACCTGGCTGGTTTCACACGTTGAGTGCCGCCTCAACCAACACTACAGCGATGTGCATGTGGCGATTCGCTAGCACGCGGCTGCATACTTTCCTTCCACATCTCGACACACGCACGTGCACCCCGCTACCACGGCGTCATCGCTGGCGTCGGATGGGTGCATAACGAAATTGTTGAGGTTTTGTAACTTTTATTGGCGCAATGGAACGAAATAATTGATGTTCTAATCAACCAATATCTACATGACTACAACGTTATAAATACAAGCAATCACATTGTGCACGTGCGAATAAATGTCTGAAATCTTAATGAGTTCAAGTGTTAAGCTGTTGAAAAAAATAAATTGAATTTAACTGACTGGTTGAAATGTGTGCATATGATTGTGTGTTTGTACTGAACATGCGTGTGTGTGTGTGTGTGTGCTTACGTGTTCGTATGTGTCTACATGTGTATCAGATGCGCGCGTGTGTGTTCGTCTGAAGGTAACAACAATTGATGTAATGAAAGATAACAATTGAAGTAACAGTGGATGAGGATTGGGAGGCGAGAGCACGTGGATCACAGAGGTCTGTGGAGATTCAATCAATCAATCGATTGCATGGAATGGTAGATTGGAAGAATGAAGAGAAGCGGTGGGGTTGGAACTGGTGGCCATCAAAGAATGGAATGATGGAACGATGGATGAGTCATAACTGATGATGATGTATTGGAGTAAGAAGGGACGATGAACTAATTTGGATGGGACAATGTAGAAATAACAGCAGAAAAGGGTGGAGTTATTTCTAGGAGAAGAAGTGCAAACGTTGCAAATGTAAGAAAAATGAATGTTGGTTGGGTGGGTGGGTGGGTGAGGATGGATACGCTGAAAAAATGGAAATAAGAACAAGCTTGCACGAGAAGGCGCTGGATGTCCGGAATGATTATCAACACTTAAAGTTATTCTAAATTCAAATCTACGGAATATTTTAAGAACGGGTTAAGGAGAAATAAATAAATTTATGATGTGGACGGATGGATTCGTTGCTGAGATTATGTTCGTGAACATTCTTGGTGATGATGACGATTGTTAATGGTGGTGATGATGATGATTGCTAATGGTGGTGACGACGACGACAATGCAGAGGGTGATGACAATAGATGATAATATTGCAAATGACGACGACGATGATGATGTTGCTGATGCGACCGACGAAGAGGTGCCCCCCCCTCCTCCCCCTCCTCCTAGTCTGAATCTTCGTCGGCTCCGTAGTCGCTGCACAGCTGGGCACTGTCCAACTCGTCTGTCATCGAAACGTCATCACACCATCAATCTCCACCCCGGTCCAACCCTACCACATCATCGTCGTCATCACCACCACTCATCACTGGACTGCCATAGCACCATCCGTAGAGATCGTCACCAGGACCAACCCCACCACGGACAGCCACCACCATCAACAGCCACCACTCATTCAGTCGTCACACACGTTCCTCCATTACCCTTAACTATTCCTTAATCTCCACCACCACCATCATCACCAGCATCATCGACATTATCGGCACTGTCAGCATCATCATTTTTTTTTAAATTTATAAAAGTATTCATTTTTGAACAAATGGATCGTTGAATGCATTAGCGAACAAGCAATTAATTATTATCACTCTCTCTCACTTTCTTACTCATTCTACATTCCCACTCATTCGCTCGCTCACTCACTCACTCACTCGCCCACTCACTTGTAGGCTGTAGCAAGGCGGCAACTTTTGGTTCCTTGGCCAGGTCAAAAGCGAGTTGCTTCTCATTGTTCCTTACGTTCGTGCTGGCTCCTGGACGTGCGTCACGAACATCATTTCATCATCATCATCATCGTCGTCGTCATCATCAACGTCATCATCATCATCATCGTCGTCGTCATCGCCAAAATAAAATTATGTCAGTGAAGTAACACTTTATAAAAGAAATACTGTTGAATCTGATCAGAAAACAGCACGATGATGATGATGACGACGACGACGATGATGATGATGATGACGATGATGATAACGTTTCGGTTCACTGAGTATAAATATCTTTCTTAACACTTGCTTGCTTGCAGTCAATAGTTACAACATGAAATCAACTCAATGCAGTCATAAACTTTAATTAATGACAGGCAGGCAGGCAAACAGACATAAAGAACAATATTAAATGACAGAGACAGACAGACAGACAGAAAAGAAATACCTCGATTGACGAGCAGTTCAACGACTTCCAGATGTCCCTTCCAAGCAGCACTGTGCAGTGGAGTGTCTCCCAACTTGTTCTGTCATTAAGTTGTTGTCATTCATTCATTCATTCACCTCTTGAGAACACTTCTTTAAATAACGACCTCAAAGACAAAATTCAAATTTTCTTTGTAATAAGCAGGTTACTCAAAAATTTAACCAACCGACCGACCCACCAACCAAACAACTTAACTAACGAAGTTATCAAACTATTCAATTGGCACATTCATACAACAATCTACCCATCAACACAACCAACAACAGCACGAACGGACCTGGACGTTCATCTGGCACTGAGGTTCGGACAACAGTCGACGGGCGCAATCGAGGTGCCCCCCGTGGCAGGCCCAGTGCAGAGGGGTAGAGGCCGACTTGTCCAAGCCGTTCACAGACACCTGGATCATCATCATCATCATCATCGTTATTATCATCACCATCGTCGTCGTTATTAACTCACGTTAATAAGCAACAAGATTTTTAAAATGTTATTAAATGAGAAATTTTCAAAGCATTTCAACTATGGAAAGTAAACTATAAAGAAATAAGCAATTCAACTACAGTTACAAAAACTGTAAATAAATTAAAATTAAAAAAAAAATAGCGAAAATAAAATGAGAAAATGTGTGTGATGCGTGTGTGTGTGTGAAGGAGAGAGAGAGAGAGAGAGAGAGAGAGAGAGAGAGAGAGAGAGAGAGAGAGAGAGAAGTGGGATGATGGGTGTGACCTTATTTTGCAGGCACTCCTCCATGAATTCGATGTTTCCTCGCTTGGCCGCCTCGTGTAGCGGGTTCTCTATCGACTCCATGCTCTCCTGGACTGAGCACGCATTTCCATTTACATCATTCAATGTTGCTCAACAATTCATCATATGAAATTTAAATGAAAAACAAACAAAACAAACACACGTTTAGACGACATTTTCCCCGAAATCGGGGGTTGCCGTTTGGCTACCTATGATGAAACCGAAATACCCCTCGACGCCATCAACATCTGTCACTCACCTCAGTATCACGCAACCCCGCTTTCACCCTGTCCTTCTCCACCTGCTCTCTCCATCCCAATCGCGGACGACCCCTTCCTACCACTCCTTTAACCTCGAACTCCAACGCTCGCCTAATCCCGACCCTTTCATCCCTTCTCAACACATGTCCATACCACCGCAATCTCGATCTCCTTATCAATGTCACAATTTCCTCATTCAGTCCCATCATTGATAAGTATTATTTTATAAATAAAATAAATTATTATTATATAAATAAAACTATATATGTAATTCTTGCTCGGAAGGAACAGTATTTGTAATTGTGTAAACAGCCTGACAAGATCCTAATTGGAAATGAGCGCCAAACACGTTAACACGATGCGAGTGTGTTTAAATAACCGTCAGTCCCAACATCATCATCAACATCATTAAAACACACCAATCACCACGACATCAACATCACATCAACAACAACAACATCACATCAACTACAACAACATCACATCAACTACAACAACATCACATCAACTACAACAACATCACAACAACATCTAACCATAGTTGCTGGGCACAAGTCCTGAAGTTGTTCCACACTTTGCCTTCCACCAATCAGGATTGGACATGTCCAGGATGTACAACAACTCACCCTCGTCAAATGAAAGCTCATCTGCCTGTCGTCAGTCATTCATCATTAAACATTCAACATTAAACATTCGTCATTCAACATTCATCATTCAACATTCATCATTCAACATTCATCATTAAACATTAAACATTCATCATTAAACATTTATCATTAAACATTCATCATTAAACATTCATCATTCAACATTAAACAATAAATACTGCCAACACAACAATTAACATTTTGACTGCTACTGATGTGTAAATAATAATAATAATAAGTATGAAAATAATTATTTGATAATTATTATTAATAATAACCAAACATGAAACGTTGATGTGGCTTAATCATTGCTGTCAATCAATCACAAGTCAACATTAAATCAAGCAAACGACACAGAACACTCATTACAAGCGGGGAAAAGTTAAAGTTAAATATCGTAAATTTCATGATCACATGTGCACTTCAGAAGAATTTTTATTAAATGAATCTCTATTGAATCATCGTTAGCTGGATGGAATCAAGCAGTGAGATGAAGAGGTGAAGAATGTTGATGGGCAGACAAAACGGTGCTGAGATATCATTGATATCATTGGAGACAACTTTCAAACCAACATCAATAAATTTAATCATTTATTTAAAAAATATAAAAAAAAGAATTAAATATAATAGCTGGAATGAGAAGCAGTACCTGTTGAGCATCATATTTGTACAAGGCTCTCACAACTTTCACCTGGCCTGGCAATAAAAGTTATTTTAATAATAATTATTATTATTATTGCTGTTATTATTGTTATTATTATTATTGTTGTTGTTGTTGGATTAGCCTTTGAGCACTGTTGTTTTTCAAATATATAAGATTTGATGAATGATCATTATGTATGATTTCGTCTGTTGACACATTTAAGACACATGATCGTGATCATCTGAGGAGTTGGGGCACTGGCAGGAGGTCAAAGTTGAAAGGCTTAGAAGATTAGGTTGAATCAGAGGGGATGCAGGAACAGAAGTGACAGGGGAGGCGTGTGGATGGTAGGAGCAGGTGATTTGACACAATAACTAAAATATTTATCTATCCATCCATCCATTTATCCACCACTTTGATTTCCTATTCTAAATCAGTTCAGAACTCATTAAAGCTTGTAAACTTATAAATGTTAGAAAACTCTAACGTATAATTAATAAATTAAAACAAATTTAATTTCATAAAACGTCACAAATAAATAAGTTAATGTCACCTAATAAACTGAAAAGAAAGAGGACAATCTTTTAATATCTTACAGTAACTTACCTACTATCTCTCATTTTTTAGGATTTAAGTTTTGGTGCAGGTTTATCTAGTTTGGCGAACAAAAGAGACCAGGGTTGCAAAGATTTTACTTTTACTTATTGGCTTGAGGGGTTAGTCAGTTAGTTGTTAGTCAGTGTCTTTTAACTTTTACTTATCTTTTTTTACTTATTTTATTTTGACAAAAAATGTTATTCATTACAAAATTTAAATTTACTTGTAATTTAAAGGTTGCTTCTTTTATTATACTTATTTTTATATTATATTCATCATAATTTATGATAAACTTATGTTAGTTAAATTTATTTTTAAGCATAAGTTGGATAGCACAGTACAGCATAATACACACACACACAATAGACAACAGCAAAACTTTACATTACATTAAGATTACATTACACTTCATACATTAACTTTACATTACTGATTACATTTACATTTTACATTAAAATTTAAATTAAACCAAAAATTACAGACCAAACAAGATTCACACTCAAGCTCAAGTAAAACTAGAACAACAAAAAGAGAAAGAGAGAGAGAGAGAGAGAATGGGAGAGAAAGAGAAGGGGAGAGAGAAGGAGACACAAACACAGAGTGACAAAACACAACACAACATAGCAGACTAGGAAGTTAAAAATGAAATTACGAATTTGCCAACAAACCAGGTTTTGGAACTGGTTTTGGTGGGGCCGCTCTTGATGGCTGCACGGATGTCATGGCTGAAACTTTCAAAAATTAGTAAATCTATAATTTACAAGCAGGATAGCCACAAAAAATTCGTTCGAACCAGCTAAACAGTAAAACATGAATTAACTAAAAGTTAATTTATATCACAAAAGTATAAATACTTTTAAGAGTGACAATTAAAAGTGCAATTTATTACATAACATTTTAATTATTTAAAAATACTATTTGAAAAACTATTGTTATTTCAATAACAATATAATTAAAAATTTTCAATAATACGGAATTTTTTTCGAAATCAATATATCCATGAATCATGGATATATATTTATATCCATGCCATGAATCAATATAACGGAAAGGGAAAATAAAATATGAAAGCAAGTGAATCGATAAAAATATTTCTGATATTCCGTGAGAAACGATAAAATGCAAGTGACTAACCAGTGATTGATTGGTTGATAATAAAAATTAATTACTAGAGATTGGAGAAATGATCGTTATCAGTGGTCGTATATTATATATAGAGTAAAATGAATGTGATGAATGACAAGCAATTGAGTTGGATTTGTTGTGTGATTGTTCCGAGTTTGTGTCCGAGCAGTCAACGGTGGTTTTCGTCGGTCGAAGGTAGAAAACTATAAAAGCAGTGGCGGATCTAGCAGGAGCTCGGGGGAAAACGTCTCCCCGTTGTGAGCAGTTTTTTTAAATAAAAGTCAGAAAAAGGACCGTTTTATGCGTAAAATCGACCAAAAATTGAACGTGATAAGCATAAAAAAGCTCGTTTTGGCCTCCCGTAAAAATTTAAACATTTTCAAATTTTTGGCCTTTCCCGTCAAAGTTGTATAATGTCTACACAATAGACCTTGCTAAATGTGCTTGAAGATTTGTGTTCATTTGTTGATGTCATTGTTTTGAATTGTATCACAGCTGTTAGAAATATCGTATATTGCAAATCCAGGAAAAACGTTTTATCATTCTCAATGTGGCCCTCGAAAAATAAAGTTTCCCTTATCCCGATGTATATTAATATAATGTTATACATAAATGTGTGATAAATGATATATTCGCTAGCTAAGCGGGCACATACACTACACACGTGCATTTGTTCAGTGTCGTCAATATCATTCATTTCGTACCTGTGGTAATTTTTGTATAATAAAATAACTTTATTAGAATATTTGAAATAAATTTTAGAAAAATTGTTAAATTAAAAATTCTGACGTAGGTGAACTTCTCTCAGACACTTAACCGCATGATGGTCAGCGTTCAGCCAAACTTGAATATGAAACAAAAAGAAGACAAAATCCATCCAGCAGACGAGATAGCAGTGTACTACGGCACGCACACTTCACACATGAATGCGGATATGAAAACACGGAGAAATCTCGCGAATAATGGAGAGAGAAATAAAAAACATTACAGCAGCAGGATATGCAATGCCAATAAGTCAGTGCTTTTGTTTGGAAATGACAGACCTAGGTTAACTTCTGGTCATTTGCTCGCTTACGTATGAATTCTTTTAGCTTCATTGCCACACATTATTTAGTCGGTCAATGTTATATTGCAAGTTTTGCAGCTCAGTCGATTTTGTCCTCTAGAAAAAGATATTTAATTTTTTTTTCAGTTTTTGTCTTTGCACAATTCTTTTTTAGTATTCACAATAAATATTTCTCAAGTAAATCATCGAAAGATAAAAGTGTTGCTATCAGATCTGTGAGAAAGAGCGAAAAAGAGAAAATGGAAAGAATTCATTTCAAAATGTGTTCTGTTCATGTTTCACATTCCCATAAAAAGTTTTTGATATACATGCGTAATGACATTATTTCTTCTTCTGCAGTTTTACTGCGTTTTAGCACCGACAGGCGATCTTTACCTATTTGGCCTTTGTTGTGAATCTTTTGATAAGCGGGACAATTAGATGTTGTTGAAAATGTTTATTTCCTTAATGTGTGATACTAGGCTTATTAAATTTTCATTTTTAAAAATTGAGTGCATATCTTCTGGAATTTGGTATTTTTTCCTGCTTTCATTGTATGTTTGACATTCTATTAATGCTGGATTGTTAGTTTTGCATTACATTTTTCTCAAAGTGAAGGTCTTGTTTTGTCTAATATCTAGGAATGGGTAATTTTGGAATGACTGATTTTTAATCTATTTATCATGTCTTCAACTTAGCTCATTTATTTTCTCATTCTTGGATTTATTTAACTCGGGCATTACTACTTTGAGAAAATTCGTTATCTTGTTCCGTTCGTTTTGTCATTTTTCATATATTAGGTCGTTTGTCTTTACTCTTATGTCGTGATGTGGTATTGGAATGATCGATGGATGATCCAAGTGAGCTTGTGATGCTAATTGATCTACTCTTTCATTACCTTCAATACCAATGTGGCTAGGGATCCAGATTAAGGTTAGATAATTTTTGTTAGCATATCGTGAAATTTTTGCAGCATCTGAGCAATTAATTGTTGTGGAGGATTGTACTGCTTCAATGCTAGGAGGGTTGACGATGAATTTGTGAAAATCATATAGATTTTTCCTGTTGGAGGATAATGCCATGTCAATTGCTATTATTTCTGCGGTGAAGATTGAGGTGTAGCTTGGAAAATGTCGAATGTGACTGTTGGTGTATTGACGTTACTGGTGGAATATCATTACTGCTGTTGTTGAATTTGTCAGTGTATATATATTTTGATGGAATTTTTATTACTAGCGACTTTTTCTCTAAACAAATTTTTGCAAATTCTTGGTCTTTGCTTATTCTTGTTATGGATGCATCGATTTTGGCACAAGAGATTAGCCATGGAGGGGTTTTGTTTGCTTCTTCTTTTAACATTTTTTATTTTCTCTATTTTTTTGATACATTCCTTTAGTCTTGTTGCAATTGTTGGAATGGATTTTGCTCTTGTTGATTGATTTTTCTCTAATATGTATCTGTAAGCAAGACTGTCTGTTTGAGATTTAACTTTTAGATAATAATTTATTGCTGGTTCTGATGTCTAAGGCTTAGCGGCATCTCTCTTGCTAAGATAACTGCTTGATGGTAATATTTTGAATGCTCCTAAGCATCTTCTTAAACCTTCGTTTACTCTTTGTTTGAGGGTTTTCATATACAATTTTCTGGTGCCACCATACACTGGGCCGCCATAGTTTAATATGGTGGCTGGCACCAGAAAATAGACTATGGCGGCCAAGTGTATTTTTTTATTTCAAAGACCAACCAAACAATTTCTCGCATCATTCATAAGCCAAAAATTCAAGATCTAACGCGATGAAATTCTTTTTGAATGAATGTATTTATTGAGCAAAGTCCCCGTTTCATCAAGTACATAGAATGTCGTACTTGTGGGCTTGTGAAGTACTTCTTATTGTTTTTGTTGTGATATTTTTAACGTTGATATTGTTTTCGTTTGTATTTTAGATTTTGCATTTTTTGTTTGTTTTTTCTGATATTTTTTTATTCACGTTTCTGACTTCATTGTACATCTATGGTCAGTCACTTTGTTTCTGCTTGTAGTTATATTATTGTTGTCGTTGTATATGTATGTCATATTAACGTCCTAGTGGGTCTGCTAGCATCTCTTCCCAAAACATATCCTGTTCACTTTTTTACAACTCCTGGCCACACTTCATTTATACGTGGTTGAGCCGATCTGACTTCACCAATACGAGCACTGTAAATAATTTTAATATCTTTCGCAAGCATGCATTTTCAACATTATTCATTCTCTGTTCTTTGATGCAGGATTTAGGCACCCTAGTTTCAGAAGCTTACTTCAATCTCAGATTTGTTAGGATCTTTATATATTGTTTTTAAGTGTAATTTTGTTGAATCCAGTTTTATTTATTTTTTTCTGACAACCCCTCTGCGTTCGATTTGTCTTCCAAGTAAACAAAGTGGTTAACCAGTTATACCATTTCACTCAATTTCGAACTTTGGAGAACTTGTATCGTTTGGAAACAGCCATGTGATTCGTCATTAAAATTTTTGAGGAACTTTTTTTCGTTTGTTGGAACTTCTATTTATTACTTTTTGTTTTGCTAGCCACGTGTATTATTTACCTGCATAGTCCTTATTCTGACAATACGGAATAGATGTCACTGCCTATGTCTGTCCATGTGTTTGTCGTTATCGTTTTGTTCGTATATTGTTTGCAAATGAATGGTTTGTTGGATGTGAATGAAATGTTTGTTGGATTCAATGCATTTGTATGCAGCTAAATTCAGGACCGCAAACAAATGAATTACATTCACATATAAAATGTTCGTACACGTACATGCATCTGTAAGCAAACAATTACAGTAACATCTACTTATGCAGGATCATTCTGTTAATTGAATAACAACTTGATGTGATTCGAAAAATTGTATTCAAACACACCAGCTTAATGCACGCACAAATACGACCACACCGTCCGTCATTTACACACACACACACACACACACACACACACACACACACACACACAAACACATGCAAATGCAATTTTTTGATGAGATCCCACGTGTCCGAGCAGCATCTTTGATGTCTCCCTCCCTTCCCCGAACTGTTTGAAGCTGAACTTGTTCATAATACAACATCAACGTTTAATTGAATTACACGAGGAATGGTTGCTTGCGGGATCGTGTTATGCGTTTTGTAATCCAATTAATTCAATTTATTACTTCTCCCTACCAAACAGAAAGAAATTTTAGGCGCTTTCTAAAACAAGTTTATTGATATTTGTAGCCGTTACTTTGCAGTCATTAGCCGGCGTGAGACACTGCCGGGTTTTGTTTAATAATGTTGGCTAGCAAACTTACGCTTAGAAAATGGATGGCACTTTTTTGTCCATCAAAGACGACAAAATTTTCAACAAGAATGCTTTTCTACATAATAATCATCACGTGTTGTTGTGCACGTCATCACGTGTTGTATAAGTCATCACATGCTGTTGTACACGTCATCACGTGTTGTTGTACACGCCATCCCAACAGTTGCAATGAAATGCAATAAAATGAAAGGATCAGAGCAAAATTTCTGACTAATTTTATTTACACGACATTTCGCACAATACCAAACCTCATGCGAGTTGACGTGTTGTCCTGTGACTGGCTGCTGAATGCAGTGGAGCATTTTATTTACGGCGCGATAAAATGATTTGCTTTGTGAACATGGCAGCTGAATGGCAATAATGCATTACATGACGATTTGTTGGCTTGTCAGATATTCTGGCCTACAACAATTAATTCTTTCATTTATTTATCGGTTCATGTCATCATCTGCCAGATATATACCTTCATATATTTATTTTAAACTTTGCATTCTATGTTTTTTCCTTAAAATGTTTAAAATATAACTCTCTTTAGTTAGATACATTTTAGAACGTACAAAACTAGAAACGCAACATTCTTTTGCGAAAGAACTCAGAAAACAAATATAAAAAATACAAACATGTTCATACGTTCTCAACAATAAAAACATGTTCATAAGTTCACCTCAATAAAAACACGTTAAAAATTCACATTCACATCAAAGCAAACATGTTCTTGTTTATACGTTCACATAAATGCAAACATGTTCATTCGTGCACTAAATGCGAACATTTTTACACGCAATCATAAACGTAAACATGTTCAATTTTGTGAACAAGAAAATCGGTTCATGACAGTGCAACGCTGCATTTGCTGGAAGAATATCGTTTTCAATGTGACCTCCCGTGCCTGCGTGGTCATGATGATGATGATGATGATGATGATGATGGTGATGATGATGATGGTGATGATGACATGGTGTGCAAGTGCATGCAAGCGGCTAACCGAACAGTAATTAGGAATAATGAATAAGAACTGTGAAGCTGGAATATGAACACCTTGACCCGAAACACGAAGCTTGTTCATCATTTGTTTGCTTGTTCGTCTGTTCGTTCGCTTGTTCATTTGATTGTTCGCTTGTTCATCTGTCTGTTTGCTTGTAAATGAAAAAAGAAATAAATGTTGAAGAAGCACGCATGACACCATTCATTTGTTCCTGCGTTCTATCTTCAGCTGCATTCATCTCGAGGTGATCTTCTTTTTGAATCGAAAAAAGTTGTCCTCAATTTTGTTTCAATTTTTCATTTTTTACAATTTTTATGATATAAAAAAGATTCAAGTTAAAAAAGATGTTATCAGAACTTAATTGAAAAATTAATACTCTTTGAATGAAATGCTGATGGAAAGTCATTGAGACCTCGTGCTGACCTGATCCTGTGTAACATTTTGTTAACGTGGAGGCAAAGGTTCGGTTATAAAATGTAGTGAGTAGGCAGGATGAGATGTGGATGATAAGATGTGGATAATGGGACATGGATGATGCGATGTGGATGATGCGATGTGGATGAGGAGATGTGGATGATGAAATGTGGATGATGAGATGTGGGTGAGGAAATGTGGATGAGGAGATGTGAATGATGAGATGTTGATGAGGAGAAGTGGATGATGAGATGTGGTGAGAAGATGTGGATGATGAGATGTGGATGAGGAGATGTGGATGATGAGATTTTGATGAGGTGATGTGGATGAAAAGATGTGGATGATGAAATGTGGATGATGAAATGTGGATGATGAAATGTGGATGATGAGGTGTGGATGATGAGGTGTGGATGATGAGGTGTGGATGATGAGGTGTGGATGAGGAGATGTCAAATTCTCAACACATCCACTTTGTAACTTCAAAAAAGTGGAAAGAGAGGAAAGAGAGAAAGGTAAAGTATGGGGGAGGTGAAGAGAGAAAGAGAGATGAAGGAGGGAAAGGGGGAGAGAGATGAGGGAGGGGAGATGAGAGAGGGATGAGGGAGGGAAGATGGGAGAGAAAGAGATGAAAAAGGTGAGAAGAGAGAGAGAGATGAGGGAAGGGAGATTGGAAAAAAGATGAGAGAGATGAGAAAGGGAGGCGACTGGGATGAAGAGAAGGCTTCAAGTTGATGGCGGGTCGACAGCTGCAAATACAAGTTCCAATGGAAACACGTCATCTTGTCAATCAAGAGGCCACCACGTCAGTATCACGTGATCCATCCTTGAATGTTTGCACGAATGAACGACCTGTAAAAGTGTGTGTGTGTGTGTGTGAGTATCTGTGTGTGTGTGTATGAGTATGCGTGTATGTGTGTTTGTATGTGCGTGTGTGTGTGTATGAGTATGCGTGTATGTGTGTTTGTATGTGTGTGTATACTCACCCACACATGAGTGTGCGAGTATTTGTGTGTATGCATGTGTGTTTTTGTGTGTGTGTGTGATGCTGTTTGCTCGGCATCGGCACATTTTACATTTGAATAGCCACCGCGTATTGGCAGTGCAAAACATAACATGGCTCTTGAACGACTTAACTATTTTTCAATGGAATATTTTTGATGAGGGATAATAAATAAATTAGATGAAAAAACTAGCTATAAAAAAATTCTTGTCTAAATTTTAAAGTGAATAATTGATAATCATTCGAAATCCCTTTTTATTTATGCGAAGTAGGTTAATGTTGAAATCATTATTTTAAAGTGTAGCGCAGCAGGAATCCCTGCTGTCTTGCAGGTGGCGGGAAAGAACTCAAATTTATGAACTGCACGAGCCCACTCCTGCGACTCACATCTGTGTACGCCACACGCACACACACACGCACGCACAAAGTTACACTTCTGACATTGTTGGACACATGAAAACGATTGACATGGAGACATTATCTTGTTTTCCATTGTTTCGTAAAAGAATTCTAGTGTACAATCTGATAAAGATCAACCATCAACTTCATTTCCTTTGCAAATTTTCTGATCAAATCGTCAGTGATCGGAGTTTGTCGGCATCATGAGTGAAACTTCCTGTAGGCTGGGCTCCGGTAGGCTGACCAGGCATTCTGCCATGAATGGCCTCATTTTGAGACTGCCTCAGAAAGCCAACACTGTGGGTTTAGTGAAGGTGAATAATTTCAGACTTGATGGCTTCACACTCCCCCATTGGCTATGGGGTCGCGCACTGACATGGGATGTCACATTTCCCCATCCACTGGCAGATAGATGCATCAATAACACTGCCATCGAGGCTGGCACTGCAGTTCTGAAAGCGCCCGATTGTTAAAACAGCAAATACAATTAACTGAACAATGACACTAAAACGTTTCTCCCATAATGCGCAGAAACATTTGGCCCTACCAACAGGCAATTTTTAGACCGAAATTACTGAAATAATTAGTGAAATAACTCAAAAGTTCTATATAAAACAAGATATTTCTATTTTATTAATTAGGTTCAACGCTTACTGTATTTTAGAAAATGTCAGAAAATGCACTTCTGTGCAAGTCCCATAAACTTAAATAAAAAAAATTAAGTTACTTATTTGGCTATTGTTTTCATCCTTGCACTCGCACATACAGTCATTGGTAGCTACACAGACACTTCACTTAGCTAGATACATAGACACTTAGCTAGATACATAGACACTTAGGTAAGAACATACATACATACATACATAGATAGATATACGCTCACATAGACACGCAAACACTTATTCAAAAACTTCTTTTAATATATGTACAGTTCACCTGCTTAATAATACTTACAAACACACGTGTGAATATTGTACATTAATGATTATACTTTTTTAATATTCTGACAACGATCTGATAAGCATTGTATTTTCAAAATTTATGTTACGTTACGTTATGTTGTATTGCATGTTGTTGTAGGTTTAATGCCGATACCATGCTCGCAAAGTGCAATTTCACCAGAGACATAAAAACGTGGTGAATGCTTGTTGCAAACAACATACACACCACACACACACCACACACACACACCACACACACACTTTAATATAGATATATTTATCATATACAATATAGATATACATTGTTTATTAAATAATCACTCACACACATGGCGTATACATACATATATATATATATATATATATATATATATATGTATATATATATATATGTATATATATATATATATATTTATTTATTTATATATTTATATATGTGTGTTTGTGCGTGTGTGATTGTGTGTGTGTTTGTGTGTGTGTACATACAAATAAACATGCAAATATATAACGTGTTGTATAACGTGTAGAGCACAGTGATTCAACATCACACATATACAATACACACACACATATATGAACACATACATACACATACAAACACACACACATATAAACACATACACACACGTACATATACACACACATACACACACATATAAACACATACACACACATATAAACACATACACACACATATAAACACATCCACGCACACATATACACACATACATATAAACAACGTGCAGTGCGGAGCATATGAATGAAGGAGCATCGTCCATACAAATACGTCTGCCTGCCTGGTCGCTTCTCTGCTGCTCTGAAAATCAATAAGTGGTTGTTGGAGTTGTGTGTGGTGGTTATTTTTGTTGCACGGCAGACCATGTTCTGAAAATTCTTTACGTAATTTGGATTTGTTTGATGGTTTGTTAATGAAATGAGAGAAGTTTGCATTGTTTGTTTCGTCGTCTGCTCTGGAGTTTATCTTGCCCGAAGTAAGATTCAATTTATTCAAATCAACTTCATATGTGATGTTGCTTGTTTGAGGCTTTATTGCTTGGGATTTTGTTTGGAAAAAAAAAAGTTAAGATAATTGCAATCATTTCGAAATTTTTTTTATAAATTGTTGGAATTTTTGTGATATAAAATTGTATGCGTTATTTGGTAACGATAGAAATAAATCAATCCACCGCAAATTTGTTCATGTTTGAAATTAAAATGCATCTACGCTTGAAAGAACCGACAACCTTTAGAAATTTGAAGGTACTCCCTTCATCTCCACCAGATGTGACGAAAAAGCCGCCGTTGAGTGCGTGCACAAATCCTTGCAACAACATCACAACAGTATATTTCAATGAACATTTAATTTTTCTAACTCAACAAAACGTAGGTGCCCAGCTCATCATCAAGCAGATATGCCTTCACTCATCCACGAACCATCAACTTTTTGAACCTCTTACCCAATTATGGCTTCAAACCATCAACTGGTCCAGCCACCAACTGATCCAACTACCCCACCAAGTCACAAACAGCATGCAATCCAAATAATCTGGCCACCCTACCAACAGCAGACCTCCATGATGTCACAAATTCATTACAACTTCATGAACTGATACAGTTTTTGCACCAAAAAAGTATCATGAATTAAACCGTCACAGCATTATGCAGACCTCTTTCAGTAGACACAAGCCAATACTCTTACACTGACCCGATCTCAACAACACTGAAATCTTCGTAGGAGATCTTAACCAAACATTTGCAACTTAACTACTTTTTCAATGTTTCCGTGTGGAAAATTGTTCTTGCATGTCTGATGAGATGAAATAAAATCGTTGTTTAAGTTAGAAAAGTGCATTTGAAAATGCGTTTGAAAAATAACGATCCCCAGCAAATCTCTTTCTCTGCATGGAAACTCCCGAGGCGCCTGCATGATCAGGAGCAGCTGATTATTGTTATAATGAATATTAATCACCATTCATCACCGGTCGTGCAATGTTTATTATTTCAAAAGGTTTTTAAAATATAAAATAGTAAAAATTGTATCATTCTTCAATATTTAAATTAACGTAAAAATATTTATTTTGCTTGACATTTGAATTCAGCACAAGCATTAAAAAATGTATCTAGTGTTTGCTTAGATGATTAACATATGATAATAAAAAATTGTTTGCTTTCAAATAGGCATGTTGTAATATATCAGATCAGTCTTTAAATAACATTATTAACGTAATGTCTGATCGATTATAAATTAAAATTTAAAATTATAAATAATGAATTGTCATTTTATTCACAATTTTTTCGATGGTAGAAACTCAACCTCTGCACATTTTCATGCACAATTTTTATGACGCGCACTGTTTACCTGTGAGATTTCTGTGCAGATAGTGTCACATGATGATGATGACGTCATGTGGTAAGGTGGATATGTGACGTAAGGAATAAACACCGCAACCACCACCACCACCACTACTACAACCTCCCCAACTACAGCCACCACCACTACAACCACCACCACAACCACCGCAGGTGACATCCTGTTGAACGAACTCACTCTAGCCCTACCGACACCCCCCGGCAGTGATGTGGACTCTTTTGAGCAATACGAACTTGGGAGTTCCTGCCTGCTGAGGTGCAATGTGTCGCACAGGTCCGTCAAAGAGAAAGGCAACATCAGCTGGTCCTTCAATGAGAAGCAGATCGTCCCAGGTTGGTCGCGGTTGTTCTGTTGGTAGGTTTTCGCGCGGCTGTTTCGCTGAATGTTCGTCCGACGTTGTTGCTAGGTATGTTACTTAATGTGTGTGCGCGCGTGTGTGTGTGTGTAGTGTGTATGTGTGTGTGTGTGTGTGTGTGGTATGCGTGTGCGCGTGTGCGCGTGCAACATTATCCTTGAAATGTTTTCTCTTATATTTTTCCGGTTTTTTAAATAATTAATTTTCCGTTTTAAGTTCCCACATATCTGTAGATCAATATAGATTATTATTCATAATTTAGACGTTAAACATTTACTCCAATATCATGCACTGACCCCTAGCACACTGTTCAGCTTTCCAATTTACAACCAAACACGTCTATACATTCCAATGCCTCACATTTCATTTGGTTAGGAGATGCAGAGAGAGAGACCTTCTGAGATGCAGTTGTTAAATTTTATTTGTGAACAAACTTTGTTAGCCTCCATCAAATTTACCCAAAAGCACACGGCAGCAGTGGTTTCTTATTGCAACAGAAGCTTTGAGTCAGTAGAAAATGTATTGGTACAAAAGTTAAATTTAAAATAATTTCAAGTTAAATTTCTCTTGAAAACTGTTTAGCCCCAACAAAACTGACATCTGGCTGGCTGACTTTTATTTAAACAAATCAATGGTCTTGATAGAAAAATTATAAACAAAAAGTGAAATCAGCTGAAAAAATATCAAATTTAAAAAAAAATCCAAGCTCCTTCCGCAATAGATGTCTAACCAGTGACCAGATTTCCTTTTGAACGATGCAGTGAACGAACGAACAAACAAACAAACAAACAAACAAACAATCAAACAAACAAACAGACAAACAAACAAACAAGCAAACATTGTGATGATGCATTGTAGCGATGGTGAGCAGTCCTTTCTGCCTCCATCCACCATATGGATTGTTCTGCTTGTTTGCTTTCCATTTAAATTTTTTGTTTTTGTTCTTTCGTCTCGATTAAAACATGCAGACGTGTCCGTTGAAACAGAACTGGAAATTCATTTTGTTTGGTGTTTGTTCAGATTTTAAATGCAAATAATATTGGATGACAAGTTTTTACGACCGGCAGATGCTTGGTCATTTGGTCATCACGAGAAATGTGACGTCATGATGGTTGGCTGGAGCGAGGAAGAATGGATGAAATGACGCGGAGTGCTTTCATTTTAAACTGTTTAGAACGATAGCAGATCAGGGGAAGTGATGAACGCTGCCAGAGTTTTAATATTACAAAGTCGTCTGTGTGGTGTTGGGATGAAAATTGACAACGAATTGAAGCAACAGAAAAAAAAACGTTTAACTGATATGCAGCTTGAAACATGTTTCCCATTGTTAGCTCATCCTATTTTTCCGATTCAATTTAAAAAATATTGAAATAAGAAGTATAAATTAATATCCGTTCTGATTGTTGGAAATACTTTTAATAACAACAATAACAATAATAATAAAAATAAGAATGATGATGATGGTGGTGATAATAATAACAACAACTATAATAATAACAATAACCTCGCCTATGCCTGCGTAGGGTTGATGTATTTCTTTTAATTTTGTTATCGATGCACACAAGCGCGCATACACACACAAACACACGCAGGAACACACACACACACACACACAGGAACACACACACACGCATAAACACACAAACACACGCACCCGCACACACACACGCACACTCATACACACACGCAAACGATGTATGGTTTTTGTTATCTCCCTCGCAAGCTCTGCGGCTGAGAATGATTTTGTTGTTGGTCCCAATGCATGCAGAGTTTTGACGACATCTCCCGCGCGATCCAATAATAATTTGCCGATACGTTATTCTCTGTCGGAATTCCTATGAGTTATTTATACTTACACTTATTTATACTTATACAACTATTACTAACACCACTACCATTGTAACAAAAGTAGTAAATGATAATTCTTTATAATAATAATAATAATAATGTGAACATATTTTATTTATTCAATCGACAAAATAAAATTCAAAATAATAAGAAATAAGAAATGACAAATAAAATGAAGTTTAATAAAAATTGAGTTTTAATGAAACTCAATTTTAATAATAATCGAAATAATAATCATAATGATAATAATAATAATAATGATGATGATGATGATGATAAAATTCTCTAAATAATAAATGAATAATTTTACTGAAATACGCGGCGTCCGAATGCAAATGCATCTAGGTAATTTTTAATGGAGGTGCAAATTATAAATTAATCAGTCACACGTACAAGCATGTAAATACAAGCCTGTTCAAACATTCGCACGTACATACATGCACACACACATACACGCAAACAAACATACATAAATACATACATACATACATACATACATACATACATACATACATACATACATACATACATACATACATACGTGTAAGTATAAATAACTCATACATACATACATACATACATGCATACATACATACATACATACATACATACATACATACATACATACATACATACATACATACATACATACATACATACATACATACATACATACATACATACATACATACATACATACATACATACATACATACATACATACATACATACATACATACATACATACATACATACATACATACATACATACATACATACATACATACATACATACATACATACATACATACATACATACATACATACATACATACATACATACATACATACATACATACATACATACCTACATACATACATACATACATACATACATACATACATACATACATACATACATACATACATACATACATACATACATACATAC